GTTAAAGACCGCCGCCATGATCGCAGGTGAATAGCGTCTTTGGCCGTGGGGGTTGGTCACTTTTGTGTTGTGTGCAGCCGCCTCTGTGTTATAAAGGAAAGGAAACGGGAACACGGGAACTGCTGTGTCACTTTTTGTGCCGACCATTGGTAAAAGACCAGAAACCTTAAATATTTCGCAGCTCATTACACATCCCTCATTTCACATCCTTAGAGGCTGAAGGCGAGGAAAATGCCTATTACCGGAAGTGTGTTAGGCGATCCACCTCAAAGGGTCGAAGGTGACTCCAAGACATGCCTGGTGGTGCCGTCGCACTTCATTCTTCCGTCACTGACCTGATCACAGCCGCATGTATCTCTTCATTCCTGTGCACAAGATGACGCAAGATCAAACTGGTGCTGCCTTATGCCACAAGTCATTGCCACTGACACCAAAGTCTACTATTGCCGATCTGCGACCCAGAAACGGTTTTTCTGACTGCAGCGGAGTCTATGCAAAAATCTGCATGCGATGTGCAGCAAATATATTTTTTAGGCTAATTTATACGCAGGTCAACCTCTGAGGATGTACCTAATGGATGATCAGAGAAATTTCTCAACAAGGAGGTATTCGCATTACAAGCCAGGTGTAAGTAATACAAATATCGAGGATGAAAAGAAACAGATGTAAAATAATTCTTGGCTAAATTGATCTTCGAACCTTTTTCAAAGAGCAGAAAAGTTTTAATCTTATGGCTGAACAAATCGGCACAACAAATCGGGTAAACAAGCATATCAACAAATTCACATAACTAATATTGTCACAAGGACTTTCAAATCTGGTTCGATGTATTGACGAGCTTGAGCAATGAATTGAGTTATTGATTAATTGTAAACATTACTTCATACATATCATAATCATGCCTTTTGTGATCCACTGCCAGGTGAAGGTCAGACCAAGAGTTTTCTACAAATTCTGCTTCTTTCTGGTTCTTACCCAACGGGCATCTTCAGTTTATTCTGCAATCGATCGGTGAGTCCGAGTCGAGTATCTTTTGGTCCAGCGGTGGTCGGTTCTCTTAATGCAAAGTAACCTGCCCATTGCCATTCTAACTTTTTCACTCAGGCAATGATATTCTAGACTCGTGTTTGTGCTCTCACTCATTCGTTCATCTTCCGATGTTTTCTTATTGTTACCAACATAAGCCATTCTATACTAAGTAGTGTAATCTGCATTTTACAGATAGCTTTCAGCGATAGGTCAGGGTTTCTAATCCAAAGTTCAGCACTGGGAGCAGACATCGATCGAAAACATTTTGTTTCAACTACAAGGGCAGTTTCCTGTCGGAGAGCAACTTCGTTCATGCATAACTGCTCCGTGTCATTTTTACTTTTCTGCTGATTTCGATAAGTCCGTTTTCTGCTGCAGAGACGAAGTGCCCCAGATACACTTAGTCTTGAACCTCTTCAAGCCTAAATTTATTGACAATTTGCTAAACATGACCTATACCTTGTCGAGGTTAATTTTCAGTCCTCCTTTGAGCTGGCATGAATCAGCGTTGGATTCTTTTGTGGAATTCTCTTGGTGACGTTTAAAGGATCAGAAAATCGTTCGCAAACCTCAGCCGGTTAAATATTTGCCTATTTATCATCAGCTCCTAACTTTCCCACTGGACTATTATGAAAGCCTGGTTTAGATCTGCTGCAAATAATTTCGGTGATATTGCATCTCCTTGCCTGAGATGGCCTTGTGTTTTCGTGAAGCTTCGCACTATCACCAGTTTGTAAATTATAATGGTAAGGTATTTGTGTCTTTTCTCGATGAAGCTCATCAAAAAATCAAACAGAAATCGGCGTGTAGACTGGATCGAGAGCCTTCTCGAAATCAGCGAACCCCATTCAGATTGAAGGCTCATTTTCGTTGTACAACAGCTTCTTATGCAAACTTATGATCATCCATCGTATTAAGACAATTGATGAATCCTGCCTCGATCCCTTGCTCCGCAGAGTCCAGTTTTTCTTAGTCTGTTTGCCAGTATCTGTGCGAAGATCTTGTAGATGATTGGCGACACACTAATCGACCTCTAGTGAAAATGGCCTGAAAACACACTAATATCCTTGTCATTGCATCATCTCTTAATTCCACGAGTTCCTCTGCAATGCCTCTTTCGCCCGTAACTCCTCCTCGCTTCACCTGATGCCGTATTTCTTCCACAAAATATTTTGAGATGTACTTCTTTCAACCATGGACATGTATTTCGTTTTGCATTTAGTTTGAAATTCATTTCAAGTCTGGAAACAAATCTGGATGGAGACTAAAATTAACGACATATCCTATCAAGCAGAATCTCTTTACCAAGACTGGCAGTTCTTTTTAGCAAACCTGGCAGTTTCGAAAAAAACTGGTTTGACAAAGTTCTATTTTCCTCATCTTCTACAAGTTGTCATTGACCCCAGCATCAGGACAAATGCAACTTGCCCAAATTCGTTTGTCAACATACACCAAAGCTCTGATATACGATTGTAGAAAGAAACACACTTTATGCAAACTGACCGCAGTTTTATATCAGATCTGTATAGTGTTGAATGGAAAGTCGCCTGGAATAAAAGTGTACTGCATTCATTCGCGTGGTCCTTTGCCATCTCCATGTGACGACTAATCTTTGAGATGCTGAAAGATTCTGATGTCCTTCCACAGAGTATATCCTCACGGCAGCCCATTACATCATTTCAAAGTTCAGTTTCAAATTCATTAGACATAAGCCACGGTCAGTACAAGAAATATCTTTAATCTGGCAAAATGTCATAATATACACTGGCTATTGATAGAAGAGCCAAAAAAGACAACAAAACAAAAGGAACTTATCCAACAGTCTCAAGCATGTGCCAGCTAGCTTCATGGGGCATCTTTCGCATTTGAACAGTACAACCGAAAGTCAGTTGATTAGCAGGACTCTCCTCCAAGCCGGAGTCTCGAAGTGGCGCTGTTGCAGTAGGTAGGCAGTTTGGTCGTGTCGTGTTAGTTTAGTTTCACAACAGGGCGTTAATGGTAACGTGTTGGCGCGGCGTAGGTCGGCGTGTAAGTCCACTTGAGTGGATGTGGGATGTATGGTGCGGCGCCAGTGTTGCCTTCGTCCGGCGATGGCGCCTGTTCGAAGTACATGGAGCTACCGTAATCAGGCGAGGAGAAGGCGAGGTTCTGAGACTTGGAAAATCCATACGGTATGCTGTCATCGATCGACTGTGCGCCATGGCTGGCGTTGCGTCGCTTGACGACGTATAGCAATACCAGCGCCGTGGCGATGACCAGCACGACGATCGACAGGCACGAGGCCAGCACCGCTTTGGCTCCAACGCTCATCGAAGTGGTCGGCCCCGTGGAGTCGTTTTCTAGGAAATCACTGAAAGATACGTCGCCGAACTTTTTGGTGTTTTCCTCATGCCTCTCTTCTCCGCGTTCCTTTGTAGAAGGCTGTTCAACGAGGATCGTGCTGCCATCGACAAATTCCTTGGGCGATTCGACAGGCGCGGTCAAAACGTTTGGTTTCGGTACCGGAGCTTTGTAAGGAGGGGCGTTGGTCCACCGTGGAAGAGCGGTTATAATACCAAGTGGTAAGGTAGCCTGATCTTCCTGATCCGCCGCGCCCAACGACGGCAGCGTGAAATTGTACCCGACAGCGTACGCTCGATTGACTCCTGTAGGCGGACTGAGGAACGGAACCGGAAATGGATAGATCTTCTTCGGATATGGCGTCACTGGCACCGCAAAGTGTTGTCTACTGGGCTTTCCATCCGTCCAATCGGGCGTGACTGGATGCGGTTCAGGCACGGTATATGTTGGATGCTCAAGTTTTGTTTCAGAAATTGGACCCGTATAGAAATGCTGGAAGTTCAACGAGAAGCCCGCTGGTAATTTGGAATCAGGTGTCATGGCAACTGTCGTCTTCTGAAGCAGAATCGGCACACCGGACTGCTGCGCGTCTGATTCGCTCGGTGGAAAATTCAACGTTTGATCAGTCGGTTGTGTCTGCTTTTCCATGAGGTCTAAAACAAGGCCTTGTTGAGGTGTTGGGAATTCTTGGACATCAACAGGCGCCTGCATGCCACCGAACGACGGAGTATTGGTAGTGAATAGGCCGGCAAGTAGTTCTTGCTGATATCCTTGTTTCTTTACTATAAAATCATTCACCATTACTTTGTCACAGAGACTTTCATAAAATTTATTACGGCCCATGCAAAATGATTTTTAATGATGAATCTTGGAGTAATATGGAAAGTTCCGCCTGTTTAAATGGGAAGTTAAAATACAACATGCTCACAACTGATCCAGACACTCACATTTCACGGGGAAGGAGTACAACT